GATGAAGACGGGCATTGGAGAGCGAAATGTGATTCAGCTTCAAACGAAACCACTTTAAATAGAATATGTAATTTGCCACTAGCGTAGATAGTATTAAGCTAAATTAAGAAACAATATTACAATAAAGTCTAATTTTAATTTTAATGCCAATCTGCATTACTCACCTTTGCACTGTCACTCGCACATTGAATGTTTTACCATTGTGTGGTCCTCCTCATTGTTCTTCACCAGCAGTTCTTTCAGTCGATGTGTCGTTGACTTTGCAAAGCAACCGTTTCGTGATGAATGTGTGAGTGCTGACCACGTTTTGCGTCCATTGCTACAATGGAAGCACTCTGACCCTCGTTGGCGAATCTGCCATTCAAGTAAACCACTGGAAGCGGCTCTCGTTCTGGTAGAGGAGGCTAATTGGATAGCGGAAGATAGAATGTTTATTGTGTTCTACCTTTTGACTATAGTTTTAAGATGTATTGTATAGTGAACAAGAATCCTCGGCTCTGTAAAGTTAATTCGGTTGAGCCTTATCAAATAAATTAATAATAATAAAAATCTGTCATACACACACTTCACCTTCTCTTCTTGGATCTTGTGAATGAGAATTATCATTAATACATCTCATAACTTCAAAAATCCGAAAAATTGCATTTTAGCTGTAATGAGCATTTGCAAGCTTGCTTTACATCGGTATAAAATCACAAAAATCTATATTCTGAGGAACCTCATCTGTGTGTCGGTAGTAAATTCGAAAATATCGATAAATAAGTATATCTGGCAACAGTGGTTGTAGCTTCTATCATGATAGGTTTACTTTTGCTGGTCCATGGCCAATTTATTGAAGAATAATTAGTTTAACTATTTATTGAACAGATTTTCAATTGTAAATTAATTTGTATTTGCTAAGTACGGTGGATCAACTCACTCACTCACAAATTTTAAAAATTTTATATGAACAATTGTCTACGCAGGGGGAGGGGAGTCAAGAATAAAAAAAAACTGTCTACGTAGTTTATGAACAGCCCCTAACGTAAATCGGGTATTCCTGTATTATTTTCTTACAGAAATTTACAGCAAAAGCAAACAACAAATACGAAAACGAACCTAGTTTGTGTTTTATTTTGCAAAATGTATGCACGGCAAATGAATGTAAGTCCCATCCACACAAACTCGCAAAGGAGTACACGGTAAGAAAAAAATACTCACAATTAAGTTTTAAAAAACTCATCGTTGGGTTCTATAATTTTAGGTCTACCGTTGAGTGAATCAGAAAAGCGGCGATGGGTAAAATTTACTCACAAATTGAGTAATAATATATGAACTCAAATTTAAGTTAATTTTCTGTTAATCATCGTTTAGCTCAAAACGTAGTATTTGTCATTTTTGATTGAATTAGTACTCTCCGTAGTTGAAGAGCTTTGAGTGGGTTGGTTTATTTCCTTTAAATTCCGTTATAATTGCTTATCTTTTGACAATTATAACGGAATTTAAAGGAAATAAACCAACCCACTCAAAGCTCTTCATAAAGGGATTCCGTTAAGAGGTTCGACAAATTAAAAGGATTTCTCTGTAGTTGTTTAAAGTGTACATGTTACTAAATTGTATTGCGTGAAGTAATTTACGAAGAATATCCTGAAATATTTATCGATACATTCCGTTTAACTAAAACACGCTGTGATTCAAAGTAAAAAAGAACTCAATTTTCAGTTAATAGTACTGAACCGATGTGTTTTCACCGATGGGTACTTTTAACTTAATTTTGGATGAAAATCATAGTAACCTGCACTGCCATCGACGCTGTCATTTGTTTGTGCTCCATCGCCTCCGTTCCTGCTCAATTAGTCCTCGCATTAGTCTTCTTTAGTGTTTGGTACATATCCTGCATAAACATAAGAAACGCCTAACCACCAATTCAGGATATCATCCCAACTCTATGCGGTATGGTCGTACCATCTATGATATCGTTTGTGTATGGTATTCGTAGGGGGTAGTGACAACACAAGTTGCAACGAAAACCGGTTGCATGCTTGTACGTTGAGTTTTTGACGTAGAACTACGTCTTTGTCGACTATACTGGGGTGCAAATCAAAAAATTTGTGTGGTGAAATAGTGTTAGGTTTTGAACGCTTGTAACTTTGTCATTTATAGGTGAAAATAAAATCCAAATACGTCAATCGATAGGATATTACATTACAAATCTGCTGAAATGAATATTTTTGCAATATAATTTTAAATGCCAATTGCAATATAATTTTAAATGTTAATTTTATCACTATTTTCATGTAATTAACGATTTTCCCTAACCCAGTCGTCATAATCGGGTAAAATTTGGTTGTACATCGTTCTGCTTGAACCTGAAAAGATATAAAACAGCGCTGCTGTCATGCCTCTGCTCATTACCGCTTCGGACGGCGTGGCACTTGGTCCTGCAGCAAGCAGGAGCAAGTCAGCGGATTAAGGTGGATCATGGCGTGACCACCTATCACAATGAGGAACTTGGAAAAGTTATACATGCAAAACACCCCCTCCCCTCCCCACCGCCTTAAACGACAACCCGACAAGACATGGACTTGTCACTTTATTCCGGGAAATAAATTATAAGCAAACTACAATTATAAGTAAAAGCAAAAGTTAAATTCCGTTAATTTTTTAACCGCTTACCATAGAGCCGAAACTTTTAAATTTGAGAAAAAAAATTGCTTTAAAAAAGCATACATTCTATTCTGTTGGTGAATTACCAATAACTGTTTGTAAAATATATCTGGTACCTCTATATATGCAATTAGATTAACATCTGTCCAGCATTTTTTACATATTCTACACAAATGATACTTTCTGCCCCACCCCATTCATAAAAAACGGCGGGAAATCCTATCAGGTGCGGTTGCTCATCGTTTGAACCTGAAAAGATATAAAACAGCGCGGCTGTCGTGCTTTTGCTCACACATCAAACCAATCCCACCAAGGTGGTCATACTTTAAAATAGACCTGATAGGACTAGGAACTGTAAATAATAATTAAAATCTCACTGTACTAAAGTTGAAAAGACGCATCTGTGTCACTTGAAAAATTCATACATGTAAACCACACAATCACAATAAATAAAGATCATTTAAATGACAACATGCTTTTGCTCATTACCGCTTCGGACGGCGTGGAACTTGGTCCTGTAACAAGCAGGAAAAATTTAAGATAAAGTATAATATTCAAAAATGCATGACATACATCAATGTTGCGTGGTTCTACGTCATACTGCGTTCGTGTACAGGACACAACCCTAATTTTTACTCAATGGATTCTTCATCAGGATTACTCAAAATTGAGTTTTCTTGTTTAACTTAATATTACCTAGCCCCACTGAAGCCCCGTGTTGAGTAAAAGTAACTTAATTTTGGGTACTTTTTTCTTACCGTGTAGGTCACTCATAGAATGAGTAAATTTTTACTCATATATGAGTAAAAGTCACTCATATTTGTGAAAAAATTTACTCTTTCTATAAGTGACCTACGTTTTGCGAGTTTGTGTGAATGGGACTCAGCAGCCGTGTTGCCGTGCAGCAAAACGATACTTATTTTAAGGTACACGGTCGATCATATCAACTCAAAACTGAGTCGAGTCGACTAAATTTCGACAATAGTGGATTTATTCAAATGTGAGTTGAATTTACAGGGAAAATGCCATAGAAAACAAAGAAAAACTTCGCTCACATGAGGAAAATCCATGAAAATGTTACTCAGTATACTAATACACTGTTTTTCCTGGAAAAGCCCGGAAAATTCAACTCACTTTTGAGTAATTCCACTCTTGCCGAAATTCAGTCGACTCGACTCAACTTTGAGTATACCTGAACGAACCTGTATTGTGACGAATAAATTTCCACCGGCAACTTTAAAGATCCTTTTTCAGCAAAACCATGGAAATCAAAGCTTCATCCTTTCCAAAAGCTTATGGGGAACATAATTTTCATTGGAATCATCAAAAGTTCCAATTCGTTTGTTGCGCACAGAAAATGTTGTAATAATTTTATCACAAATCGAAAGCATAACTTTTCGAAGTTCTGCCTACACAGAAAAACAAAACTACCCACCGCTTGGGTTTTTTAAACTCAAATTTGAGTTATTTGACCTCAGCCCGTTTCATTTTCTCTCGCTATTGTTGTCAAAAATAGAACGAAAGATTCGACTCAACCGTCTAGTTCCGTACGAGAAGCCAAAATTGAGTAATATGCGATATACCCAAATTTGAGTTAATTGAACTTAATTTTGGGTAGAAAAAATTGAAAATAACTTAGCGATGGGTAATTTTTTTTGCCATGCTTAAATGCAAACTACTTTGCGCCGGTTTACCCAAATTTGGCTTATTGTACGGAACATGGGAGATGAGTGAAAAGAACTTAATTTTGGGTTGTTTTGAATTTCTGTGTAGTAATACCTTTTTCCACCAGAGTTCTACTTTCCAGCAAATTATCCTCAAAATATCCCATACGAGAAAGTTCCTCTACACGAAAGCTCCAGCTTGCATGCCATCTCTTCCAACAGCACAGAATCGATTGTACAATTTTCCCAATTAGAGCTTATTCACCACACAGCGAAGCTTTCATACTCACCACGCTCTACCCTCTATAGATCCCACCCACTTGAGCTACCCCCCGGGCACAAAACGATGGAAACAACCTTTTCCAACGAAGGCAAAAAGTAAGTATGCTCTGCACGGACAGCAGTAGCAGCAGGAGGAGGAAGGACCATCAAAACAGACAACTTTACAGCACCAGTCAGGGGGGTGGGTTTTCAAGGTCATAATGTTTAGTTGTTTTTCCCATAACTGCTGCAGCTTGTCTTGGTTCTCCACGGTGGGGGTGGAGTCGTTGACTTTGACTGCAGATGAAAACTCATTTAAAAAATTGAAACCTGAAGTTGGGCAAAGTTGTTCGTTCGCAGTCTTTGTAGCTTTTGTGTGTTGTTTGCTTTTCGGATTCGAATTATCATGAACGTGTGTATTGTACTTACCTAGAATCAGAACGACCAAAACGAATCGCAGCATTGTCACTAGCATGATGATATGTATGGGTTTATCCCTGGCTAAAAGCTCCTACGTTGAAAAGTTTCCTTTCACAGAGAATCGGGAACAGCAGCTGTTTTTCCACTAACAGTTTGGTAGCACCTATTTTCCGGTCCGGTTTTGTTAGATTAAAAATCGTCTGTTCCTGAAAAGGAAAAGGAAAAAACAGAGAAACGAAACACAATTAGCATTAGTACCGTAAAAGCAGTGCATAAGGGATTCAAGCGAAGGGAAAGCATCCTGATTAAAAGTGACGCCACTAAATGGTCGTAAAGATTTGAAGTTTTTTCTTCCGTTTCCATTTTCCTAACGACGATGGCGATGGTGGCACAGGTAGTGAGATGAGTCAAAATTGGCTATGGCCAAAAGTGCTGTGCTCACTTCACACCCTCATTCGCTGAGTAGATTCCTTGCGGCACCTGCTGAGCGGTGGCATAAACAAAAGGCAAGACGATTCCCTCTAGTTGTTTCCCAAAATTAGTGAAAAAATAATAGAATCATTCATCTATCGGAAGCACATGCCTTTCCCCCACACGGGTCCTTTTTGTCCTGATAAAAAAAGGCTTTCACATACGATTGTATTGCTTTTCTGTCAGTTTACGCAGAGAATAACTAGTAAGAACCTCGCGAGTCATATAAAATCTAAACACGACAGACGCTCATTTGGCGGCCTGCAAACGCAATTTCAGTACCCGTCATATCGCACTTTTATGGTTGGCATGGGATTTTGGGACCGGGCGACGGTCGTCAACGGCCTTGCTGTTCCCGTTCGTCATCATCATGATCATCGTCGTACATTTCGAGGAAAACAGCGGTCCACACGCGTGGGTCTCTTAGCTTCTTTCGCAACAAAATGACGAACGTTGCCACCACGCAGAGGACGACGACGAAAGTGGAAAACAGTTTGGATGAGATTTTGGCAATTTAGGTCACTGCATGTGAATGTTGCTTTTTTATGTGGTTGATGCAGTGTCGTATCACTGCAGGAAGGGAAATATTCTCTGGATTGTCAGCTGGGATATTTCAACACTTCATGTATCAATAGTGTTGCTGATTCCATGTGGGTCATTCTGCGGGTCATTCCGCGCCAAGGAACCGAGAAAAAACACAAAAGATTAATTGACCTCTTACAATTTGGACCAAATTTGGAGGAAATGTTTATTTTGGTCTATCTTTTATGAGTCCAAATTTTTGTGCCGATTGAAGCACCCCCCGGTCCAGAGGAGCATTGTCTATTTATCGTGATTTTCAAGACAGCACTACTTTCTTTTATGTTGTTCGGAGGTGGCCGTGATAGATAATCACTATGGAAATTAACTAAACGCGCACGTAGACGAATAAAAACTACATTCATTAAAATACGCGACTATCGTGGTAAAAGGTGAACATGACAATAATCAAAACAAAATGGACAACATAAGTTTAGGACGGTATTCAGTTATGCTGGCGATGACGTCTTTCGTATGACAGCGCAGCTCTCGACGATGAGCCCAGCAGGAAAGCGATGGACCGTTATGGTTCACAGACAGTGTTCCCAGCGCTTCTGTTTCCGTTGCCCCAAAAACATCTCCCTTCTAGAACCGATGATACAGGTTGAACCTCTGGGGCGGTCTTCTCGGTCTTGAAGAGGGCCTTGGTAGCTGTACCTCTGGCTACACCCTTGGTGTGCTTGCAGCAGCCGATTCGAAGCTGGAAGATGTGGTGCTCGAAGACGAGGACGATGACGACATATCAGGGCTTGTAGCCGTAAAGGTAGTTGTTGACAACGTTGGCGTTCGAATAATATCGCTTTCAGTCGTAGTTAACGGATTCCACGTATCGAGTAGAGCTTCCAGTGGGAGTTGCTTCTGCTTCGATGACTGGCTGGATCCAGTACCTTGATCCGAGCTGGTTGACGTTCGACTTCTCAGCTGGTTCAGGTGCGATTGAACTAAACGACGACTATCGATCAAGACATTGTACATCACTCGTCCTACTCTTTCAACAATCGTGCCAGGAACCCAGTTCCAGGTGTTCTGGCGATGGACTTAGTAGTTCGAGACAGGTTCGTAAACGTCGTCCGAACATGATCTCCGACGGTGATAGACCTTCTGGCGCTGACTGGTTAGGAGTGCTTTGGTAGGCCAGCAAGAACGTATCCAAGGCTTCATCGGTCGAACTTCTTCTCTCATCAAGCTTCTTGATCGCTCGCTTGAACGTGTCGACAAATCTCTCTGCTTGGCCGTTTGATTGTCGGTGAAACGGTGCAGTTGTTACATGGTCTATTTCATTCGTCTTGTAGAACTGAGCAAATTCCGAGTTTTTGAATTGGGTGCCGTTGTCTGACACCAACGTTTCCGGCATCCCCAGGCGTGCGAAGATACTGCGGAGGATGCTGATCGTTGCGGAAGCCTTGATGCGACGTGTGCGGATGACTTCCAGCCATTTCGAAAACGAATCCACGGTGAGCAGATAGTAGTCACCGTCGATAGGACCGGCGTAGTCCACGTCGACACGTTGCCAAGGACGTGTTGGCTTGTGCCAGGGCACAGGGGTCGCTGCTGCTGGGGACTTTGCTGTCAAGGCGCATGGTAAGCACGCTTTCACGTAATCGGCTATCTCGCTGTTGAGCGATGGCCAATAAACGTAGCTGCGGGAGATTGCCTTCATCCGCTCAATACCGCGGTGCCCCCGGTGTAGTTCTTCAAGGCATCGCTTGTGTAGAGGAGACGGAATGACAAGCCTTTCGCCGACGAGAATGCAGCCCTGCACCGTGGTTAACGATTCACGGCGATGTTGGAAACGAAGAAGTTCTCGATCTGCGTCGCTGGCCAGGGAATTTGACTAATAGACCTTCTTGGTGCTTTGTTGTACTGTGTCAAAACTCAAAGGAAACACATTAAAAGAATCACACACTACTGACCTCATAACACTTTCCAAGGTGACGAAAGTGATCACGAAGTCTTTGTCGGGTTTCGCAGCGTTGCAAACGGTTGGCAGTATACACTAGAATTCCCTTCTTGCTCCCGAAGATTCGAAGTAGTGGTTGATGGTCGGTTTGGAGGAGGATGTTGCGTCCGAATATCATGCGGTGGAACTTGGTTACCGCATATATGATGGCCAATGCTTCACGATCCGTTTGGCTGTAGTTGCGCTCGGCTGGAGCCAAGGCTCTCGAAGCATGCTGGACGACTTGATTGTACCATCGGGCAAACGGTGCAGACCGATTGATGACGCATCGGCCGAAATGATGATCTCTTGCTTGGGATTGTAATGGGTCAGGAGCAAGTCCGATGACAAGATGATTTTTAACTTGTCAAACGCCCTCTGACACTCCGCTGTCCAAGCGAATTTGACTCCCGTCTTCAGCAGTTCGTCCAGTGGGTAGCGCAGAGCTCGCATATTCGGTACGAATTCCCCGTAGAAGTTTACGGCTCCGAGAAACAACCGAACTCCCGACACATCCGTGGGTGCCGGCATGAGCTTGATGGCTTCGATCTTCGATGGATCGGGACGAACTTCATGGATTCTACCCAGACTACGATGTCATTGATGTAACTGCTAGTGTGCTTGAGACCCGCCAACATGGTGTCAACGAGTTGCTGGAACGCTCCCGGCGCAGCTTTTACTCCGGGTGCCAGTCGGTTGACTTTGTAGATGCTCCGATGGGTGTTGATTACGAGGAGCTTAATCGATGATTCGCCGACTTCAAGAGCGGAGCGTCGTTCAAGCCCGTGGAATAATCACCGCAAATTCCGAATACTGCCGTTCGCCTTCCGAACTACCACAATCGGAGCAGCCCACTCCAAATAGTCGATTGGCGTGATGATCCGCAAGCGCTCGAGACGGTCAAGCTCACCATCGACAGCCTGGTACATGGCATAGGCCACGGGACGTTTGGTACGAAACACTGACCTTTGTCCTGGCTTGAGGTCGAGCTTTACCGTTGCTTTCGTACACCGTCCGAGGCGGCCTTGAGCCGCTCTACGATGGATGAAGAGGAATGGCTGACTTGTCAACAGAAGACGTTCATCGGAACGGAGTCGAGCTGGAATGCTTCCACCAAATCTAGACCCAGAATGTGTAGAACGTGACGTAGATCGTTCCCACTTGCGTTATGTCATTGACGGTGATCGAGCAATCGAACTCCGATAGTAGCTTCAGAGGATCGCCCGATTCGGTTTTTGCGTTCACTGACGGTGAGCTGGTTGGTGGTTTTCCTAGCTGCTTCCAGATCTCGGATGATACGACGGTGATGTCAGAGGCAGAGTCGAACTGCAGTCGAACCGAAACACCGGAACAAACTTTCTTCTCCCTCGTACATTGTTCGCAGAGAAATGGACAGTCTTCGTATCTACAGTGACTGTTCTCGTTCGTCTCTTCACCTGCTTCCGAGGGAATTTTCGATCACTTTCACATTAACCTTCTTTATGTCCATATTGGTTACATTTAGCGCACTTATGGTCTTTGTACTCACAGTCCCTTGTGTAGTGCATCGTTCCACACTTCCAACAGGGACTTGGTAGCACTTTTTTTTTCACTCACTGCACTACGCGACGACGATGAAGCACTGAAATGCTCCTGCCGTGTTTGTTGCTGCTTCTGGAACCGCTGCTTGATCACGTTCACTGTGTTATTGGGTCGCTCGATCATCGCAGTGTCATGCCGAAGATTCAAAAGACGTTGGCATTCGGTGGACAACTGCTCAAGAGTGACATCCGTCTTCTCCTCGATGCGCGCCAACAACCGGGTTCGAACTCAACGCATGTTTTGTTGATTCGGCAGGTGAAGGTGACGAAATACTCGGTCGGCCCTTTCGCTACTTGAAGGCATCGATAGCGTTTGCTGATGATCGATTCCGCTGCTCCAAATAGGCCTTCGGCAATATGAAGCTGCAATACCGCTCGTACTCCGCGATGTCAAGTTTCTGCATTAATAACCACACCTTTGCTTGATCATCCAGCCGGGAAGCATCCTTCGCGAACAGATCATCATAAAGGGTGATACGGTCAAAATTTGGTCAAGGGAAAACGCGTGTAAATCGGTGAAATCGTTTATTTAAAAAATCAAATTAAATTTCTTTTTCAAGTTCAATTAGTATAAAATTCAGGAAAAATATTCAGTTAGGCTTCCGCTTTTCCAAATCCGAATTGCCGGGCCTTACGCTTGACCCCTGCCATCAGATTTTGTACAGCCACCTTGTCCACCTTCTTCGCCGCAGAAAGCCAGTTTGCCTTGAACTGCTGCTCGCCCTTAGCAGTTTTTTTGGTCTTCTTTAGGTTCCGCTTGACAATAGCCCAGTATTTCTCAATTGGGCGGAGCTCTGGCGTGTTGGGAGGGTTCTTGTCCTTGGGAACCACCTGCACGTTGTTGGCGGCGTACCACTCCATGGCCTTTTTACCGTAATGGCAAGATGCCAAATCCGGCCAAAACAGTACGGAACAACCGTGTTTCTTCAGGAAAGGCAGCAGACGTTTATTCAAACACTCTTTCACGTAAATTTCTTGGTTGACAGTCCCGGAAGCTATGACAATGCTGCTTTTCAAGCCACAGGTACAGATGGCTTGCCAAACCAGATATTTCTTTGCGAACTTTGACAGTTTCATGTGCTTGAAAACATCTGCTACCTTTCCCCTTCCTTTTGCCGTATAAAACTCCTGTCCCGGAAGCTGCTTGTAGTCGGCTTTGACGTAGGTTTCGTCGTCCATTACCACGCAGTCAAACTTCGTCAGCATCGTCGTGTACAGCCTCCGGGATCGCGCTTTGGCCGTCGTATTTTGTTTATCATCGCGATTTGGAGTCACTACCTTCTTGTAAGTCGATAGTCCGGCTCGTTTTTTGGCTCGATGCACGGTTGTAGACGATACACCCAGCTTATTTGCGGCATCTCGGAGAGAGAGGTTAGGGTTTCGCTTGAAACTACCGGCAACTCTCTTTGTCGTCTCAGCGGCTTCCGGTTTTCGATTTCCCCCCGATCCAGACTTCCTGGCTGTCGACAAACGTTGACCAAATTTTGACCGTATCACCCTTTAGTGCGAGAACCACGAACAAAACGATATGCTGTTCTCGGCGTCGTACCTGAACTCCTTGACGTTACTCGCCAGTGAGTCGAGAATCGCTTCGGGATTCGACGGTACGTGCAATTGGATGTTCTGGAGGGCATTTTGCTGCTGCTGGATGAACACGCGCTGCTGATCGTTGGCTTGCTGCTGGTTTTGGATGAGCTGATTCGTCACGAGCTGTTGTTGCTGAAGCTGCTGCAGGATCTGAAGGATGAGCACATCGGTCGGTATCTGTGACGTATTTGGCTTTGGCAGATAGTTTTGACTTGATCTTCGTCCGCTGGCATAGACAGCTAACGCTTCTTCCATGTGGGGGCACTCACTTCACGAAAACGAACACTAAAATCGCACTCCCGAGTAGCCACTGTTACTATCGTGGTAAAAGGTGAACAAGACAATAATCAAAACAAAATTGACAACATTAGTTGAGGACGGAATCCAGTTATGCTGGCGATGCCGTCTTTCGTATGACAGCGCAGCTCTCAACGATGAGCCCAGCAGGAAAGCAATTAAGCGTGCCAATTCAGGAAAATGCAACGAAAATTGGTTAGACTTTAAATACTAATAACTTGGCCAATAATTAATGAATTTTGATGATTTGTTAGTCGATCGATTAACCAGTGTTATAAAATTTGTGTGGTATGTCACACAATATATTTTTTTAATTTTTTTTTTTATATCTTTATTAAGGAGACTTTCAGGCGTTGGCTGGCTCGTCTCCGATATTTTTTTAATATTCAAATAGCTTAAATGAAGAAATAAGGAAATAATCAAATTCCCCATACATTTTCTACGACCGCAAGGTGCTCACCCCTAACACAGCCATCAGAAAGTTGATCCCTAACGACACAAGCCGAAGCCGCACATTCATTCGACGTTGCACGTTGGACGGTTCGACCTAGCGCCTTGTTCCCTGCAGCGTGGACATCGTAGAATTCCAAGCAGCTCAATACATACACCTCACACCAATCCAGGGAAATGAAAAGCATGCCTTTACTGTCGTGAGATCCACTGCCATGGTCCGTGGGTAATATTTGCCTATCACGTACCTAAAATTCCGTCGAATATACAGCTCATCGGAGTAGCTGTGATCCGTAGATATCAGAAGAATTTGAACATTGCAATCAGTACTCCTCCAAAAATGTCACGAATACACACCACATATTCATCGATTTTTAAGCCACTTACGATACTATTGACCGTGAAAAACTATGGAATATTATGGACAACAACGGCTTTTTTTTCGGGAAACTGACAAGACTGATTGAAACTACGATGGATGGTGTACATTGCTGCGTGAAGATATCTGGTGCGCTATCCGACCCGTTTGAAACACGCAAAGGACTTCTACAAGGCGATGGCCTTTCCTGTTTCCTGTTAAACATTGCGCTAGAAGGTGTTATGAAAAGTGCGGGGTTTAACATGCGGGGTACGATCTTCAACGTCCAGCCAGTTCATCTGCTTCGATGACAACGTGAACATTGTCGGATAAACGTTTCAGGCGGTTGCGGATCAGTACACCAGGCTGAAACGTGAAGCAGAAAAGGTTGGATTAAAGGTGAATACGCCGAAGACAAAGTATCTGTGAGCTGGAGGAATCCATCGAGATAAGGCTCGCATAGGCAGAAGCGTGGCAATCGTCGGAGATGAGTTCGAGGTGGCGGATGAATTTGTGTACTTCGGATCATTGGTGACGTCGGATAACAACTGCAGCAGAGAAATTCGTAGACGCATAATTGCCGGAAGTCATGCTTACTACGGACTCCACAAGACCATAAGGTCGGGTAAACTTCATCTCCGCGCTAAGTGTACCATGTACAAGAAGCTGATAAGACCGGTAGTACTCTACGGGCATGAGACATGGGCGATGCTCGATGAGGACCTGCAAGCACTGGGAGTTTTCAAACGGCGTGTGCGTAGAACCATCTTTGGCGGGGTATACGGAAACGGTATTTGGAGGAGAAGAATGAACCACGAACTGGTGCGACTCTATGGTGAACCCAGTATCCAGAATGTCGCTAAAGCTGGAAGGGTACAATGAGCCGGGCACATTGTAAGAATGTCTGATAATAATTCCGCAAAACTGGTGTTTACCTCAAATCCAGAGGAGCGCAGCGTGCTAGGTGTCAGAACCAAGTGGAGCAAGTTCTAGGAAGTGTGCGACGCTCGAGGAATTGGAGACAAGCAGCCAGGGATCAAGTTAGTTGGCGCAACAGGTCAAATCTTGAGGGACGTCGGACCAGCAAAAAAAGAAGAAAGAAGAAGAAGTGGTGAGTTTCGTGTTTAATTATCGAGTCAGTAATTTGACAGGGCTCAGTGTCAGTGATGAATACAAGATTCAAATAGTTAGGCCACTGGCATGCCGAAGCGCAAAACGAAGCGTTGCTTCGCGCGGCCATAGGGATTTTCATTATTGATAGTATTCCCTACAATCGATTTGGCACATCACTTGGCTTTCCGCGTCACCATGGCAACGGCCTTATTGTTTTTATTCGGCAGATCACACACTTGCACATCAGTCCAGCCGACAAGAATCCATCAACAATGGCGATTTTATTATGCGAAACAATTCGATCAGGTAGAGAAAATATTCTTTTCCCTCTTGAAGACGCGCATTACAATTCGGCAGGTTAAAATCTCCTGACACGAGCACTGTGTCGCCAGGATCAACGGTCTCAACGATGGACTCAACCAGCGAACGAGTTTTAACGGTCAATATTTGAGGTAGGTGGGATCAGTGATGCAAAATATCATGACACTCACTCGACACTCGTCAACGCTTCAACCGACTATCGCTGACAGAACGTTTTGTCACG